TAGCAATTCGGGGTCTCTTCTGGTTCCATACAAATTTTAGGATTGTTTGTTCCAGCACTCTGAAAAATGCTAGTGGAATTTTGATCAGGATGGCATTGAAAGTATACATTGTTCTAGACAGCACAGACATTTTAACAGTGTTTATTCTTTTGATCCATGAACATGGAATGTTTTTTCATCTTTTTGTGTCTTCTTCAATTTCTTTCATGAGTGTTCTGTAGTTCCTCAAGTACAGATCCTTTACCTCTTTGGTTAGGTTTATTCCCAGGTATCTTATGCTTCTTGGTGCTAGAGTAAATGGAATTGATTCTCTAATTTCCCTTTCTATATTTTCATTGTTAGAATAACTACAATGATACATATACATTGATACAAATACATTGTTAGAATGTATAAGAAAGCAACTGATTTCTGTGCATTGATTTTGTATCCTGCCACATTACTGAATTGCTGTATGAGTTCTAGTAGTTGGGGGGTGGAGACTTTGGGCTTTCTCTATAAAGTATCATGTCATCTGTGAATAGAGAGAGTTTGACTTCTTTGCCAATTTGAATACCTTTTATTTCTTTTTGTTTTCTGATTGCTGTTGCTAGGACTTCTAGTACTATGTTGAACAACAGTGGTGAGAGTGGGCATCCTTGTCATGTTCCTGATCTCAAAGTGAAGGCTGTCAGCTTTTCCTTATTGAGAAATATTCGCTGTGGGTTTTTCATAGGTTTTATGAAGTTGAGGAATGTTCCCTCTGTCCCTATGTTTTGAAGAGTTTTAATCAGGAATGGATGCTGTATTTTGTCAAATGCCTTTTCTGCATCAATTGAGAGGACCATGTGGTTCTTCTCTCTTCTCTTATTGATTTGTTCTATCACATTGATTTGCAAATGTTGAACCACCTTTGCGTGCCATGGATAAATCCCACCTGGTCTTGATGGATAATCTTTCTAATGTACTGTTGGATCATATTGGTTAGGATCTTGTTGAGAATCTTGGCATCCATATTCATCAGGAATATTGGTCAGAAATTCTCCTTTTTGGTCTTTTCCTGGTTTGATCAAGGTAATGCTGGATTCATAGAAAGAGTCTGGAAGTTTTCTTTCTGTTTCTATTTTTTGAAACAGCTTCAGGAGAATAGGTATTATCTGTTTTTTGGATGTTTGGTAGAATTCTCCACGGAATCCATCAGGTCCTGGACTCTTGTTTGTTGGGAGGTTTTTGATCACTGCTTCAATCTAGTTACTAGATATTGGTCTATTTAGGCTGTCAATTTCTTCCTGATTCAGTTTTAGAAATTTATAGGTTTCCAGGAATGCATCCATTTCATCTAGGTTGCTTAACTTACTGACATAAATGTTGATAATAATTTCTGATGATTGTTTCTATTATCTTGGTGTTAGTCGTGATCTCTGCCCCTTTCATTCATAATTTATTAATTTGTGTTCTCTCTCTTTTCTTTTGGATTAGTTTGGCCAGCGGTTTATTGTTCTTTTTACTTTTTTTTTTTTTAAGATTTTATTTATTTACTTGACAAAGATCACAAGTAGGCAGAGAGGCAGAGAGAGAGGGAAGCAGGCTCGCAGCTGAGCAGAGAGCCTGATGTGGGGCTCGATCCCAGGACCCTGAGATCATGACCTGAGCCCAAGGCAGAGGCTTAACCCACTGAGCCACCCAGACTCCCCTGGTTTATTGTTCTTATTGATTCTTCTAAAGAACCAGCTTCTAGTTTCGTTGATGTGTTCTGCTGTATCTCTAGTTTCTAACTCATTGACCTCTGCTCTAATCTTGATTATTTCCCTTCTTGGGTAGGGGGTTGGCTTAATTTGGGGTTGATTTTCCAGTTCTTTAGGTGTAAAGAGTGTTGGTGTATTCAGGATTTTTCAGTTTTTTTGAGTGAGGCTTGGATGGCTATATATTCCCCCAGCCCAGGACCGCCTTTGCCATATCTCATAGGTTTTAGACTGATGTGTCTTCATTCTCATTGGTTTCCATGAATTGTTTAAGTTCTTCTTTGATTTCCTGGTTGATCCAAACATTCTTGAGCAGGATGGTCTTTAGCTTCCAGGTGTTTGAATTCCTCCCCAAATTTTTCTTGTGGTTGAGGTTCAGTTCCAAAGCATTGTGAGAATAAGCAGAGAATAATCTCAATCTTTTGGTATTGGTTGAGCCCTGATTTGTGACCCAGTATGTGGTCTATCCTGGAGAAAATTCCATGTGTGCTCGAGAAGGATGAGTATTCTGTTGTTTTAGGGTGGAGAGTTCTGTATATATCTATGAGGTCCATCTGGTCCAATGTGTCATTCAAAGCTCCTGTTTCTTTATTGATTTTCTGCTTGGATGATCTATTACTGAGAGTGGCATGGTAAGATCCCCTACAATTAATGTAGTCATATCAGTATGACTCTTTATTTTGGTTAATAGTTGACTTATGTAGTTGACTGCTCCCATATTGGGGGCATAAATATTTATAAACTGTTAGATCTTCTTGATGGATAGACCCTTTAATAATGATGTAGTGTCCTTCTGTATCTCTGACTGCTATCTTTAGCTTAAAATCTAATTTATCTGATAAGAGAATCACTACCCCAGCTTTCTTTTGAGGCCCGTTGGCATGTAAGATCGTTTTCCATCCCTTCACTTTCAGTCTGGATGTATCTTTAGGTTCCAAATGTGTCTCTTGTAGACAGCATATGGATGGGTCCTGTCCTTTTATCCAGTCTGCAACCCTGGGCCATTTTTTGGGAGCATTTAGGTCATTTATGATGAGAGTGATTATTGAAAGATAAGTTTTTATTGACATAATGTTGCCTGTGAAGTCCTTGTTTCTATAGATTGTCTCTATAAATTTCTGTTCTATGTCACTCTTGGGTTCTTTTTTCTTTTATAGAATCCCCCTCAATATTTCTTGTAGTGCCACCTACTCTTTTAAACCTTGCCAGTCCTATCTCTGCAACCATTTTGAATGTCAGCCTTGCTGGATAGAGTATTCTTGGTTGCATGTTCTTCTTATTTAGTATCCTGAATATGTCTTGCCAGCCCTTTCTGGCTTGCCAAGTTTCTGTGAACAGGTTTGATGTTATTCTGATGGTCTTTCCTCTGTACGTAAGGCATATCTTCCCCCTAGCTGCCCTTAAGAACTTCTGTCCGAAATTATGATTCATGAATTTCACAATTAAGTATCAGAAAAGCTTCTGCACAGCAAAGGAAATAGTCAATAAAGCAAAGTGACAACTCACGGAATGGGAGAAGATATTCACAAATGACACTACAGACAAAGGGCTGATATCCAAGATCTATAAAGAACTCCTCAACTGAACACTCAAAAAACAGATTATCACATCAAAAAATGGGCAGAAGGCATGAACAGACATTTCTCCAAGAAGACATACAAATATTTAACAGACAAATGAGAAAATGTTTGTTATCATTAGCCATCAGGGAGATTCAAACAAAACCACATTGAGACCAGTTAGAATGGCCAAAATTAACAAGGCAAGAAACAAGTGTTGGAGAGGATGTGAAGAAAGGGAACCCTCTTACACTATTGGTGGGGATGCAATTTGGTACAGCCACTTTGGAAAACAGTGCAGAGATTCCTCAAAAAATTAAAAATATAGCTACCCTATGACCCTGTTATTGCACTACTGGGATTTACCCCAAAGATACAAATGCAGCGAAAAGAAAGGCCAGATATACCCCAGTGTTCATAGCAGCAATGGCCACGGTTACCAAACTGTGGAAAGAGCCAAGATGCCCTTCAACAGATGAATGGATAAAGAAGATATGGTCCATATATACAATGGAATATTATGCTTCCATCAGAAAGGATGAATACCCAACTTTTGTATCAACATGGATGGGACTGGAAGAGATTATGCTGAGTGAAATAAGTCAAGCAGAGAGAGTCAATTATCATATGGTTTCACTTATTTGTGGAGCATAAGGAATAACACGGAGGACATGGGGAGATGGAGAGAAGTGAGTTGGGGGATATTGGAGGGGGAGACAAACCATGAGAGACTGTGGACTCTGAGAAACAAACTGAGGGTTTTGGAGGGGAGGGGGGTGGGAGGTTGAGTGAGTTTGGTGGTGGGTATTATGGATGGCATGTACTGCATGGAGCACTGGGTGTGGTGCATAAACAATGAATGTTGGAACACTGAAAAAATAAAGTAAAATTTTAAGAAAACACATTGGACAAAATATAAATAGGATGAAAATAAAATGAAATCATTAAATATTTTAATTAAACAATAATAAATATACAAATACAAGATGTAACTCATACAATGTTTAGAGCAAAATTTATAGGCTTATAATTATATCTTAGAAAAGATTAAAGGCTGAAAAAATCAATGATTTAATTTTTCAGCTTAAGCTCAGAAAATAAAACAAATAGAAAATCTAATTAAAGGTAAATTTTACAAATATTGGGACAGAAAATGGGATATTACTACAGATCTTACTTTGGACATTGAGAAGAATAAAAGAGGGTATTACAAATAATTTATGCCATTACATTTTGTTATTTGGACAAAATGGGCATATTCCTAGAAAATGCAACCTTCCAAAACTAACCAAGGAAGATATAAAAAGTCCTGTGTCTGGTATCTATTAAAGAAATGTGGTCAGTGTTGTATGGAAGTGTTGAATCACTATACTGTACACTTGGAATTAATATTACACTGGATGTTAACCATACTGGAATTTAAATAAAAAATTTTAAAAAAGGAAAAAGATGGTGTTGATTAAGTAGTGTGAAAGCAAAATTTTAAGTGAGCGTACTAGGTTTTATAAATGCAGATAGAAACAAAAAATGAATTTTATTTCAATTTCACAGATGAAAGAATGTAACAATTATATTATTGAATAAATAGGTGACTACAGAATTATATTGCAGTGTTCTTTGCCATTCTTCCAAAGTTTTAGTTTTCAAGGAAGGTATATAGATCTCTCTAAAAAAACGATTTGGCTTTCCATTGTTCTTAATGATCTCCCTGATGATTTAGGTGTTCCTTGATGATCTCCCTGAGGATTTTAACGATGCTTTACATGAGTATAACATGGACGTTACAAAAGCCTTTGCCTCTTTCCTACTAAATGTTTCCAAATTGGCTGATATGAAACAGGAATATCAACTCCCATTGTCAAAAATAAGTAAGTATATCTTAGTTCCAAAGTGGAACAATTTAAAGAAAAAATAAAAGAATATTTTTTCCAGAGGAAGAGAAGAGCCTGGGAAGGATCAGTATGCCTTAAAAATATCTGCTTTCCAAAGAAGGAAACTCTTGATTTTTAGAAGCCAAAAGGGCAATGGAGAATAAAAATAAATAGAGTCATTTATAAACCATCTTGATTAAAGATTGCTTTTGGGGCAAGCCTGGAAAGTGCAGTAAGGACATTTATGAAATGAAGAGAAATGAGAGACCATTCTATCACTCATTTTCTTGAGGAAATACGTATAGACTTGGAAGATTAAATGGACCCAAACACTGGTTCTGCTATTCTTAGAAGGGAGACCTTGGGCAAGATTCCATATTATTTCAATAATCCATATTCATGCCTCAATTTTCTCAAAAGTTATATAAAAAAGAGAATAGCATTACAAACCTAGTTTGGGTGAGCTTTAAATAATTCAGTTAATATATGTGAATATCTTAGAACAGTATCTAGCACATAGTAAACACATTAATCTTTGCTCTTATTTTTCATAAGCCATTGGATAGAAATTGAGGGGAAAATAAACAGGAAAAGCTGACTGGGATAAAAGGAAAGGGTTGAGTCATGGGTAGCAATTTCCTAATTTTATTATACCCTAACATCTTCAGTTGGAAAAAGGAAGCAGAGCCCATTACTTCCTGGGCCTATTAAAGTGAGAAGCAGCATGAACAAAAGCAAACAGTAATAGTGGATCATTGTGAGCATCCCAAAGGAGGCAAAATAGGAGTGCCTTCATTACAAATTAGAGTCACCTTTGAATGCACAATCTGGTGCTTTTTGAGAGCAGGAATAGAGGGGATGCCTGGGTGGCTCAGTTGGTTAAGCATCTGCCTTTCGCTCAGATTATGATCCCAGAGTTCAAGGATGGAGTCCCATGTTGGGCTCCCTGCTTAGTGTGGAGCCTGCTTCTCCCTCTGCCCTGCCTCCTGCTTGTGCGCATGCGCACTCTCTCTCTCTCAAATACATAAATAAAATCTTTTAAAAAAAGAATGGGAATGGAAAAAATATTTCTTCTCATATGCCATTTCCAAACCCTTTGACAGTGGCCTCTTGGGATACCCTCGCTGGAATGATTGTGAGGCCAGATCTAAGTTCGGTGGGAAAAAGATTCAAGGTAATAACAATAATTCTGTGTTAAAAGAACATGCAATTTAAAGGTAGTCTTTTATTACCTGTCGATCAAGGAACTAAAACATAATACCAAATTTCATAATATTGATAACATTAACAGCTAACATTTATAGAACGTATGCTGTGCCAAGATGTGCAACTCACTTAAATATTTTATTTATTTTTCAGAGAGAGAGAGAGAGAGAGCACAAGCAGGGGGAGCTGGAGGCAGAGGGAGAAGCAGGCTCCCCACTAGGCCAGGAGTCCAATGTGGGACTTGATCCCAGGTCCCCGGGATCATTACCTGAGCCAAAGGCAGAGGCTTAACTGACTGAGCCACCCAGGTGCCCCATGCTACTCATGCTATGTGATATACTCATCCAGTCTGTCATAGGTCCTGGAAAGTTGAATTACTCCATTGTAGCATGGTCTAGAGAATGTGCATAAAGTGTAACAATTTGGCCAATATTTTAAAAGCTAAACTATTCCAACTTATTGTGGCCAGATTTCACAGGGAAAGAATGTGAGGACTCTGAACTTGTGTCTCACTTGATGAACTGCAAAGAAGGAAGAGTAGCTATTTCTCCATTTGTTTGTCTCTCTGGGAACTCTGATGGTGATTTGCTTCAACCAAATACTCCAAACCATGTAAGTGGAAATGGGGTTTATACATTAAAGATCTTTAAGAAAGAATTGAATGCATACTTCTATGCTGTTTAAAAAGAGTTCAAATTTCCCAAATTGAAAAAAAAATCCAGGTGTATGAACAGAAATATCCAGGAAATGGTACTCTTGAGGCCAATATGGTTTCAATTTTTCAGTGTTGACATGAGGGACCCTGCTCCATTATACAGAATTCCCAAGTATCACCACTTTTCTTCTGTCTTTGTAGGCTGATGCAAGTTTGCTGTGAAAAGAGCACATAAAACTATCTTTAGGCCTTCCTGGTTTTGCTATAGATGTTGTAAATTCCATATGTATTCTGGATCACTGATGTCCAAAATGGTGTACAAAGAACTAGACACATTGGGAATATGTTGGATAATTCACTGAATGTTGGAATAAACTTACAGAAATTTAATTTATATTTTAACACAAAGTTTGAGAAAGAAAATAAGTTTTGTTATATTTGATGTTATGGTTTGACACTAGGGTTTCAACTCTATTCTAGCCCAAAATCCTAGATAGTCCCCTATTATGTAAAATATTTTAGTCCAGTATCACTTAGAAGAATTTTGAAAAACTAAATAGACCTTTGTGCATTTTTAAAAATTTATTTATTTAACAGACAGAGATCACAAGTAGGCAGAGAGGCAGGTAGAGAGAGAGGAAGGGAAGCAGGCTCCCTGCTGAGCAGAGAGCCGGATGCCGGGCTCCATCCCAGGACCCTGGGATCATGACCTGAGCTGAATGCAGAGGCTTCAACCCACTGAGCCACCCAGGTGCCCCCCTTTGTGCATTTTAAATGGACACTTATATTTTTATCACAAATTCTAATAATTTCTAATAATTTCCAGCTTCAGATAAACTTTGATATGTTAAAATAAAGCCACCATATCATTTTTAATGTATAAAATGGAATCTGAATGCTGAGGCATTTGAATACTCAAAATTATGAAGTTAAAAACAGTCAAGAATAAAATTTCTAATGATTTAAAATTTGGTAAAGTTCTTTTCTCTTGTATTTAGATTATACATTCCGCCACATAATTTTACCTTAATGTAATATATTTTTAAACATTAAGCTACCCTATCACATTTCTTAGCTTAAATAGTATGCAATTTCAATTTAAACAAGAATGCAATTTCAATAGTATACAACAGGTTATTTCCTGTTAATTGCAGAAACTTAAATATAATACAAATTTTGAGAAGTAATTACCAAAAATAAAATTAATGTTATATTAGAAATGTATTAATGGAATGGATGAAACTATTTCTTTTTAAATTAGTACAATAACTAAGAATGAATATTTACTTATTTTTAGAATGAGACAGTTCCAGCTTCAAATTTTAATTTGAATGTTGAGAAGCCTTATTCAAATAGAGAAGTAGCTCAGAATGGAACAGCTTTTATGACAGTGATACATAATTCTTCTAATTCTTTCTGAATGTTTGCCCCAAATCACTTACCAGTCTATTATCACAAACATATTTTTAATGATCTCTTAATTAACAACTTAATTAGATCCACTGTAATTTTGTTGAATTCAAGTAATTGGAAACAACCTAATTTAAAAGAAAAGAAGTTATTTCTTTGCTTAGTCCTTAAGTCACCCATTTTCTTAATAGGAAAGCAATATGGCTCTTTGTTGCTACTCTGTACATTTTTAAACCCCAAGTAAGTTTGAGGAAGCTTTTTGTTTTATAAGATGAGAAAAAAGCATTCATGAAAAAAGAGATGAGAAAGGACTTTTTTAAAAAATTGATAATGTACATGGTTTAAAAATTACTTAGAGACCACTGCTCCAGGTCTTTACTCTCATGTGAGTTGTATCTTAACAGAATGTGGGAGAGTGTGGAATTCTGGCATAGAAATAATAGAGGACTGAAATTAGCTTATAAGATCAATAATTTTATGAAGCTTGGGGCGCCTGGGTGGCTTGGTGGTTAAAGCCTCTGCCTTAGGCTCAGGTCATGATCCCAGGGTCCTGGGATCGAGCCCTGCATCGGGCTCTCTGCTCAGTGGGGAGCCTGCTTCCTTCTCTCTCTCTGCCTGCCTCTTTGCCTACTTGTGATCTCTGTCAAATAAATAAAATCTTTAAAAAAATTTTTATGAAGCTTTTTTCCTGTATTTTATTTCTATAATTATAATTAATTACTTATGTAAGAAGTTTGTAGCTAATCATGTTGAAAACAAGACATTATTAAGTATTATAATTTCCCTTTTTTTTTCTATTTCACAATTAATTCAACTTATGGTTAGTAGGTACCATTAACTTTTGTTTCCCTTCCATGTGCACATTTTTCCATGAAGTTTTTGAGGAACACTAATACAGTTATAATATGATATAGTGTCTGTGTCTTATTGCCGCCTAGTCACCATCAATTAGAAGAGATCTTTAAGGTACAAAGCAGGAACTAATACAGACTTTTCATTGTTCCTGCTGGTGTGTTAGAAGAAGCAGGTTCTATATCATTTATTTTGAAGCATCCTGCACGGATGAGTATTTCTAGAGTACGCCTTGATGGCAACATGTCCTTTGCCTTACCCAACTCACTTTATGCAATTTTACTTTACTAATGTAAGTTATAACCTCTCAAATCTTATTTTGCTTTTATTGTTTGTTACATTTTAATGTAATGCTACATAGGTATTCATATAATCTTTAAATAACATATATATAAGCTGTAAAGCATTAAACTAAAATGAAAACCCATGGACTCAGGACCCATGTACTCCTCCTCTATTTTACTCCCTTGTCTCTCCTCTTTCCCTAGGATATAAATTATCCTGAATTTTGTGTTTTTAATTCTCCTTTAAAAAACATCATATTCCGAAGTTCCTTTTTATATTTGCTGCTTTTGATTTTTATAGAAAGTAAAAGAATACTTACTCTAGTCTCCTGGATGTTGTTTTTTGCTTTTGTTTTGTTTTGCTCTTTGCACAAGATTCATTCATGTTGTCAGTTGAAGCTCTATTTTATTTTCACTGCTTCATAATATTTCAGAGTGTGGATATAAAACAAGCCATTGATCTAGTTTCCTCTTAAAAACTGTTTGTGTTTGTTTTTATTCTTTACTGTTACAAAAAGGGCTGCTACAAATATCTGGGGCCCATGTACAATAGTTTCCCTGGAATGTAAATATTCTGGATTTTTGAGGTCAAACAGGTTTCAGGATCATAATGGAATAAGAATATTCCAAGAACTTATAGTGATAAAAGAACTTTCCATGCTACCACCAAATCATTTGAGAAAGTAGTTTTACTGATTAGTGTATTGGAGTAGTTCCTATTGACCCTGTATAGTTTTCATAAAATGACCAGACATGAAAGGCTATTGACTTGTTAACTTGCTATTCTTACTTTTCTTCTCTTTCCTTGTATATCTCTCCCCTTCCTTTTTATTCTGGTGATTGGGTTCTTGCAGTTGTTAGAGTTGAATTCTTCTCTTGAGACACAGAAGGCACCAAATCTTTAATACTCTGTTTACAAGATATCTCTTATACCAACAAGGATAATGAAAAAAAATTAAAATTAGCTTTTCTTTCCTAGTGACTCTTGTTATTCTCATGGCTGCATAGTTGAAATTGCCGAGTATGCTGTGAGGCAATAATGTTCGTAGGTGGTACCAAGTCATTTTCTAGACTTGCTTAGGATAGCACCAACCCAGTGTGTATGAAAGACACCCTCTTACTTCATCATGAACAGTGTGCTTCAAAAAAGTTGAATAAAGAAAGGAACTATAAAGCACAATGTAAGAAATCATAAACTTTCTTTACACATAAATAACAAAAAGATTTGTGTTTCTTTAGGTCATTTTACGCACAATTGGTATCAATCACAATCAGGCTCCTGTGTTGTGGTCACAGGTATTTGATAACCAAGGAAGAAGAATGCCACTTAATGCTTATGCACTTGATTTCTATAAACATGGTTCCTTGACAGGACTAGTCCAGGACAACAGGTATGTTTTATCTATCTTCACCTATCCACCCCCCCTAATCTTTCAACTTCTACCTTTCTGTGTCCATGTCTGTATTCATGTCTGTGTCTCCATCTTTCTCTTTCATTTCTACCTCTACCTGTGGTTTACCAGCAAAATCTTGGAACTTAAGGTGACTCACTTGACCTAAAGATGTACCCTGCAGATATATTTGCATACTCTCACAGATGTGTTTTTATTTATTACTATCCTATTTATTGAATATAAGTTATTTTAAAAACTCACCATTATCTGCGAGAAGTATATAAAAAGGTATATAACTCACACTTCTGAAGACTGAGCATAGGACAATTGTTTTAGCTCTTTGGCAAGGAAATCATTTTCAAAAACAGTAAGGAAGGGTAAACCCTCTTGGATTTACTGAAAGTAGAGAAATTCGTCCAGGCACCGAAAGTAGAGAAATTGGTCCAGGCACTGAGCACATAGATGTGATAGGGGCATTCTGTCACACTAATAAGTAATTCAGTAAAAAATTTGCATAAAATTTTGAGCAGTTTTTATTGAATTAAAGGATTTAAAACTTGGGACACTAGATAAATATTGATTTTTTAAAAATTTCATAGCTCACTGATGCAGATGTATTTTATTCATTTTTAAAGTTTTTTATTTTAATCACCTTGTGTTCATTATGACAAATGCACTCCTTAATCCCCATCATATATTTCACCCATCCCCCTCCCCCATCCCCTCTGGTAAACATCTGCTTGTTCTCTATAGTTAAGAGTCCATTTCTTGGTTTGCCTCTCTCTCTTTTTGCTTGTTTGTTTTATTCTTAAATTACACAGGTGAGGGAAATCCTTCAGTATTTATCTTTCTTTGGCCAACTTATTTCACTTAGCATTATACTCTCCTGCTCCATCCTTGTTATTGCAAATAGCGAGATTTCATTCTTTTTTATGGCTGAAATATATATATATATATCTCCATTTGTCAGTTGATGGACACTTGATAATGGGCTGCTTCCATATCTTGGCTATTGTAAATAATCTTTCTATAACAAAAGGATGCATATAGCCCTTTGAATTTATGTTTTTGTATTCTTTGGATAAATATCCAGTAGTGTGATTGCTAGATAGTAGGGTAGTTCTAATTGTAACTTTTTGAGGAAACTCCATACAGTTTTTCATAGTGGCTAAACCGGTCTGCACTCTACTAACAGTGCAGGAAGGTTACCCTTTATCCATGTCCTCATGAACACCTACTGGTGTTCTTGTATTTTTTTATTTTAGTCATTCTGACAGGGATGAGGTGATATCTCATTGTAGTTTTGATTTGCATTTCCCTGATGGAAAGTAATGATGATCATCTCCTCATATGTCTGTGGGCCATCTGTATGTCCTTCTTGGAGAAATGTCCATTCAGGTTTTCTGCCATTTTTTAATTGGACTATCTGCTTTTTGGGTGTTGAGATTTATAAATTCTTTATATATTGTGCATAGAGTCCTTTATCAGATATGTCATTTGGAAATATCTTCTTCTATTCCCTAGGTTGTCTTTTAGTTTTGTTGATTGTTTCCTTCACTGCAGAAGTTATTATTATTTTTTTTTAAAGTAGGCTCCACACCCAACATGAGGCTTGAACTCACAACCCTGAGATTAAGAGTCCCGCATCCTACCAACTGAGCCAGCCAGGTGCCCCTGAAGCTACTTATTTCATAGTCCAAATAGTTTGCTTGCTTTTGTTTTCCTTGCCTCAGGGGATCTATCTAGAAAGTAGTTACTATATTCAATGTCAAAGAAGTTATTGCTTGTGTTCTCTTCTGGCATTTTTGTGGTTTCAGGTCTCACATTTAGGTCTTTAATCCATTTTTAATTTATTTTTATATAAGGTATAAAAAAGGTTGTCCAGTTTCATACTTTTCTTTTTTTTTTTTAAGATTTTATTTATTCATTTAGAGAGAGAGAGAGGGAGAGTGAGAGAGAAAGAGAGGAGGAGGGAGAGGGGCAGAGGGAGAGGGAGAAGCAGACTCTCCACTGAGCAGGAAGCCTGACATGGGGCTCTATTCCAGGACTCTGGGATCATGATCTGAGCCCAAGGCAGCGGCTTATCTGAAGGAGCCTCCCAGGCACCACTTCCAGTTTCATTCTTTTTGCATGTTGCTGTCCAGTTTTCCCAAAATCATTTGTTGAAGTGATGGGTCTTTTTTCTATTGGATATTCTTCCTAGCTTTGTCAAGGATTAATTGGTTATATAATCGTGGGTCCTTTGCTGGGTTTTCTGTTCTGTTCTATTGATCTATGGGTCTCTTTTCTGCCAGTACCATACCATCTTGATCATTACAGCTTTGTAATATAACTTGAAGTTTGGAATTGTGATGCCTCCAGCTTTACTTCTTTTTTTTTTTCTTCTTCTTCTAGTTGCTTTGGCTATTCAGGGTCTCTTGTGGTTCATACAAATTTTAGGATTGTTATAGCTCTGTGAAAAATGCTGGTTGTATTTTGATAGGGATTTCATTGAATCTGTAGATTGCTCTGTGTAGTATAAACATTTTAACAATATTTGTTCTACCATTCCATGAGTATGGAATGTCTTTCCATTTCTTGGTGTCGTCTTTCATTTCTTTCATCGGCATTTTATAGTTTTCAGGGTACAGATCTTTCACCTTTTTGATTAGGTTTATTCCTAGGTATCTTTTGTTTTTGATGCAATTGTAAATGGGATTGATTCCTTAATTTCTCTTTCTGCTGCTTCATTATTGATGTATAGAAATGCAACAGATTTCTGTACAGTGATTTTGTATCCTGTGACTGTACTGAATTCATATTTCAGTTCTAGCACATTTTTAGTGGTCTTTCTGGTTTTCTATACATAGCATCATGTCATCTGCAAATAGTGAAATTTACTTCTTTACACATTTAGATGCCTTTTATTTGTTTTCATTGTCTGATTACTGTGGCTATGACCTTAGGGGAAAACTCTCAGTTTGTCCCCAATGAGGATGATTTATTAGTTGTGGGTTTTTCATGTATGGCCTTTATTATATTGAGGTATGTTCCCTCTAAGCCTGTTTTGTTGAGGGTTTTTTATCATGAATGCTTGTTGTACTTTATCAGATGCTTTTTTTCTGCATCTATTGAAATGATCATATGGTTCTTAGCCTTTCTTGTATTTATGTGATATATCACATTGGTTACTTTGTGAATATTGAACAACCATGCAACTCAGGATAAATCCCAGTTGACCAAGATAAATGAGTTTTTAAATGTATTGTTGGATTTAGTTTGCCAGTATTTTGTTGAAGATATTTGCATCTACATTCATCAGAGATATTGGCCTGTAGGTCTCTTTTTTGCAGTGTCTTTATCTGGTTTTGGTATCAGGGTAATGCTGGCCTCACAGAATGAATTTGGAAGTTTTCCTTCCTCTTCTATGTTTCGGAATAGTTTGAGAAGAATAGTAATTAACTCTTTGGTAAGTGTTTGGGACAATTTTCCTGTGAAGCCATCCGGTCTTAGACTTTTGTTTTGGGGGAGTTTTTTGATTAGCAATTTAATTTCTTTACTGGTATTCAGTCTGTTCAAATTTTCTATTTCTTCCTGTTTCAGTTTTGGTAGGTTTTATGTTTCTAGGAATTTAGTTTTTTCTTCCAGTTTGTCTGATTTGTTGACATATAGTTTTCATAATATTCTCTTATAATTGTTTGTATTTCTGTTGGTGTTGGTAGTTATTTCTCCCCTCTAATTTATGATTAGAGGTTTATCAGTTTTATTGATTTTTTTCAAAAAGCCACCTTCTGGGTACATTGATCTGTTCTATTGTTTGTTTGTTTAGTTCTTATATCACTTATTTCTGCTCTAATCTTCATTTATTTCTTTCCTTCTGCTGGTTTTAGGTTTTGTTTGTTATTTTTAACTCTTTTGGGTGTAAGGTTGGGTTTTTTTTATTTGAGAGTCTTCTTACTTATTGAAGTGGGACTGTATTGCTATAAATATTCCTCTTAGAACCACTTTTGCTGCATCCCAAAGATTTTGGACCATTGTGTTTTCATTTTCATTTGTTTCCATGTACATATATATATTTTTAAAGATTTTATTTATTTATTTATTTGACAGAGAGAGAGAGATCACAAGTAGGCAGAGAGAGAGGGGGAAGCAGGCTCCCTGCTGAGCAGAGAGCCCAATGCGGGACTAGATCCCAGGACCCTGAGATATTGACCTGAGCTGAAGGCAGAGGCTTAACCCACTGAGCCACCCAGGTGCCCCCATATATCTTTTTAATTTATTCTTTGAGTTCCTTGTTTACCCATTCATTGTGTTGTAGCATGTTATTTAACCTTCATGTATTTGTGGTTCTTCCAGATTTTTTCTTGTGATTGACTTCTAGTTTCTTTCTTTTTTTTTTTTTTAAGATTATTTATTTATTTATCTGACAGAGAGAGAGAGAGAGAGATATCACAAGTAGGCAGAGAGGCAGGCAGAGAGAGAGGGGGAAGCAGGGTCTCTGCTGAACAGAGAGTCTGATGTGGGGCTTGATCCCAGGATGCTGAGATCACAACCTGAGCTGAAGGTAGAGGTTTAACCCATTGACTCACCCAGCTCCTGACTTCTAGTTTCTTGAGGTTGTGGTCAGAAAGGATGTATGGTGTGGTTTTGATTTTTCTGAATTCTTGAGGCTTGTTTCGTGGCCTAATATGTCATCTATTCTGGAGAATGTATCATGTGTACTTGAAAATAATGTGTATTCTACTGTTTTAAGGTGGAATGTTCTGAATATATCTGTTAAATTCGTCTGGTCCAGTGTGTCATTCAAAGTCACTGTTTCCTTGTTGATTTTCTGTTTAGATGATCTGGCCATTGATGTAAGTGTAATGTTAAAGTCCCCCACTATCATTGTGTTATTATCCGTTAGTTCCTTTATGCTTGTTGTTAACTGTTTTACATATTTAGGTGCTCTCATGTTGGGTGCATAAATATTTACAATTGTTATATCTTCTTGTTGGATTCTCCCCTTTATGATTATAAAGTGCCCTTCTTTGTCTTTTGTTACCGTCTGCTTTAAAATCTAATTTGTCCAATATAAGTATTGCTAGTTGGCTTTCTTTTGACAACCATTTGCATGATAAATGTTTCTTCATCCCCTCACTTTCAATCTGTAGGTGTCTTCAGGGCTACAATGCTCTTATAGGCAGCATATAGATGAGTCTTTTTTTTTTTCTTTTAATCCATTCTGTCACCCTGTATCTTTTGATTCAAGTGTTTTGTCCATTTTCATACAAAGTAATTATTGGTGGATATATACATTTATTGCTGTTTCATTACTTGTTTTGTGGTTGTTCCTAAAGATTTTCTCTGATCCTTTCTTGTCTTTCTCTCTTTCATGGTTTGCTGGTTTTCTTTAGTGATATATTTGGATTTCTTTTCTTTATTTTTGCAGTTTATTAGTTGTTTTTGATTTTTGGTTACCATTAGGTTACATCCTCTGCATATTTAGCTGTTGGTCTATATTAAGCTGGTGGTCATTTAGGTTTGAACCATTCTTTACTCCTCTCCTCCCCATGTTTTAGATATAAGATACCTTCTTTTACATATTTCTATTTTGTGAGTACCTTGGGTGGTCTTTTACAAAAAGAATTCATTTTTACTGTTTTTGTGTTTCCTACCTTCATACTGTCACTTTTGGTCTTTCATTTCCACTCAAAGAATCCCCTTTAATATTTCTTGGAGGACTAGTGTGTTGGTCATGAACTGCTCTAATTTTTTTTTTTTTTTTTTTTTGCCTGGGAAACTCTTTATCTCTTCTTCTATTCTGAATGATAGAATTGCTGGATAGAGTATTCTTGGCTGTATATTTTTCCCATTCAGCACTTTAAATATGTCATGCCTTTTTCTTTTGCTTGGAGAGTTTCTGCTGAAAAAGCCACTGATAGCCTTATGGATTTTCCCTTGTAGGTAACTGCCTTATTTTGTCTTGCTGCTCTTAATTTTTTTTTCTTTATCACTATATTTTGCCATTTTAATTATGTCTTGATGTGGATCTGCTTTTGTTGATTTTGTTGGGAGTTTTCTGTGCCCCCTGGATATGGATATCTTTTTCCTTCCCCTGTTAGGAAAGTTTTCATCTATTATTCTTCAAATAAATTTTCTGTCCCCTTTTCTTCCTCTTCTTCCTCTAGGACTTTTATAATGTGAATTTTTAAATAAAGATTTTATTTACTTATTTGAGACAGTGAGAGAGAGAATGTGCACAAGTGGAGGGGATGGGGAGAGGAAGAAGCAGCCTCCCCACTGATCAGGGAACCTGATGTGGGGCTTAATCCCAGGACCCTGAGGTTGTGATCTGAGCTGAAGACAGACACTTAGCTGACTGACCCACCCAGGTGCCCCTATAATGTAAATGTTATTACGTTTGATAGAGTCACTGAATTCCCTAAGCCTTTTCTTATTTTGCATAATTCCTTTTTTTCTTTTGTTTAGCTTGGTTACTTTCTATTACCATGAGTTCTAGGTCATTAATTTGTTCAACTGATTTTCCATCCTGCTGTTCATTCCATCAAGTGTGTTTGTCATTTCATTTACTGAGCCCTTTATTACTGGTATGTTATTCCTTATCTCTGTGTTAAGGTTCTCACTCAGGTCTTCCATTCATAAGTCCAGTGAGTGTCTTTATAATCATTACTTTAAATTCTGTTTCACTGAGATCCCTGGACATGGCCTTATCCTGTTCTTTCATTTGGGACAAATTCCTCTGTCTTCTCATTTTGTCTGTCTCTGTGTCAGCTACTGTGTATTAGGAAAGTCAGGTACCTCTGCTGTTTTTGAGGGTAATGGTCTTACATAGAACTCCTTGTTGGGGGGCGCCTGGGTGGCTCAGTGGGTTAAAGCCTCTGCCTTCAGCTTGGGTCATGATCCCAGGGTCCTGGGATCCAGCCCTGTATCGGGCTCTCTGCTCGGCAGGGAACCTGCTTCCCCCTCTCTCTCTGCCTGCCTCTCTGCCTACTTGTGATCTCTGTCCGTCAAATAAATAAAATCTTAAAAAAAAAAAAAAAAGAACTCCTTGTTGGGAGTTGCAGTCTGGGAGGGGTTTGAGCTGGTCTCTCCTCAGGGGCGAGTTTTCACAGTGCTGGGACTGAGGCAAGCATAACTTGGAAGGGTGGATACACCAGAGCATGGCAGGTACCAAGCTTGGCATAAACAAGTTGGGTACTGACAGTTGGCATGGTACTGGTTCCTACAACTAGCCCTGTGCTAGTTGTGGTGGGGGAGGGAAGTGGTGCTGGTCAGTTTCTTTGTTCACAGAGAGGTCTTTTGTGAACACTACCTCTCTGGGACATTTTCTGAGAAGAACAAATAACCTCCCGGAGCCCTGTATGCCACAGGCACCCTTCAATTGCTGTTTCCACACTATACATCCATGGGTTGTTTGCCCTGCCTTTTCTCCAAAAGCAGTCCCGATACCCCTGGGCTATATCCAAGCCAAGCCCACTGACCTTTAAAATTCTAGCCTTTAAGCCTCATTGGTTGCAAGAACTCATGATATTCAGCCCCTCTCATTTTCCAAGCCAGTTGGTATGGTGAATCATCTTCCCTTTATGCTCCACTGTGTTCTAGTCTGTCTTTACTCTGCTCCACCTCTATGGCTCCCATCCCACTGCAATGGGCAGTTCTCTCCCAAACCACATCTCTGAACTTCCTACTTTCTTCAATGCAGTTTTTTATCTACCTTCAGTTGTGGACTTTGTTCTGTCAGTCTTCAGGTTGATTTCTGGGGTATTTAGGATATTTTGATAGTTATATAGATGTGTTCATGGGATGAAGCAAACCTAGGGTCTTCGTAGGTATTTCTGATCATTTTTAAAAATATAACTCATTATTGTGAATTAAGTTGTGGCATTAGTAAATAATTCATTTGATTCTTCCATTTTGATTCTCCAGCTCCTATTCACTCTCCTGAGCTTAACTTTCCTATTTTGGATTTCTTCTGAGATGGTCAGTCTTCTATGTGTATTGATTATGTGTGGTTGTAATACTTATGACATTTTTGAATTCAGAATCATCATTCCTGTTGATTGAATCATCATCTAAGATGTGTGACAAAAAGTTTCTGGTAAATATGTCACGACAGACAAAAGTAATTTATTATTGACAAATCCAGCATTTCAGTATGACATAAGTTCTTTAATGTTTTTATACTATTAAATTTCAAATATTTTTGTTTAGGATACATGAAGGAGCTGCTTATCAGTTGTTGAAAGATTTTGCACTCACCATTAAATCTATCAGGTATGTTATGTATTTTAAATATTGATTTCAAATTTTTCAAAAATTTAATGGTAATTTGAAAAATGTTGACCTTATACTTAAAAATGCCCTTGAGCTTCTGAGATGTCACACATTTCAACTCCCCAAACACTTTACAGAGCTTCTTTTCAACACCCTGTTGCATTGGTTCTATAATAGAATTAATTCCAAAGCCCATTTGACATAAGGTTTTATTCAGACCAGAACCTCAGCCTTAAGCACTGCATAACAACAGGACAATATTCAAAAGCCTCAAGAATTCCTAGATCCTAGTATTCTCAGTTTTCACAACCAGTGTTTGTCAGATACATGATACTTCAGAAGATCCCTTAGGGCTCCATGGAGTCCCTGGTTTATATCAACTTACATATTCTGGACTTTCTTGCTTTATATTATATAGTGTTTTTTTCCAGGCTTTATCTGACTCTGGTCTCTCATGTTGGCTTTCTGTTTCCATCTTTAGCAGAGTACAGTGGGGATTCAAACAACTCTAAACTTTCTATGGATATACCCATCCTAAGGGTTTATTACAAGGTCCACCCTTAGGCCCATCTAGTGTTGCCTGGTTAAATAAACATCTTCTTAAAGCCTCCTGTTTGTGTGCACTTCAATATTTTATGGGTTTTCCCTTTTATATCACGTACTTTAAAAAATTACATATCTTCACATATATGTATACATGCAATTAGCCATGAATCTCTTCATGAATTTCTTGCTAATCAGGTCACTGGTTTTTAATTTTTTGATTTGAGATTAATTAGACCTGTTTGGATGTTTTATACAAAGAATGAAACTTTGGGGATTCTAGAACAGAGGAAACTGCTCTAGATATTTTCTTGAGTATATCCAGACAGTGTATTTCTTGAGTGGTTCATGGTTATTCAAGAGTATCCCAGGAAACCCCTGAGACTTTGGAACCATCTCAAAATCTCATCCTAGAAATATCATTCATTCATCTGAAAAGTATTGAATATTATTGCTTTGAGACATACTTCTAAGTATTTGATATATAGAGAATCAGTAAATCTTTTCCTGCTTTAAATGTAATCTTACAGTGTAGTGTGAGGAAACTGACTTGTAGCTACTAAAAAGGCAGTAAGTGCTAGGATGATAGATAATGAGGCAACCTTGGATTCAGAGAAGGATTTTCAAATGAAGTAATTTTTTCACTAAGTCTTAAGGGATCTTAAGGGATAGGGCAGAGGAAATAGTGTTTTTAAAGTACAGAAATGAAAAAGGGTCTGATATGTCAGGGATAGGCTTCTATCTCACTCTAGTGGCATGGGGAATATGGGAGATGTGATAGAGATGGGGAAGATACTGAGTTGCTTAAAGCAGCTTTAAAGGCAATTAGGATATGTATTGGAAAGGGTCTTAAGTCTCATATTATGGAGTGGGCTTAATATTATGAATAATGTGTAGATAGTGTATAGGCATGGGTATGATATGGATCTGTGGTTTATATATCTGACAGAGATGTATAAGGTTTATATATGTTTATATATGTGACAGAGACTCAAAGACTATAAGAGCCATGCAAGTAAGAGTGAGTGTGAGTCTGAATTAAGGAAAGAGAAGTAATGATGTAAAGGAGTGGTTAGAGAAATACTTATAGGATAGAATTCAGAGAAAGTTTCAATAAAGTTCATGTGGTTGGTGATGATAATAAGTTCCTATCTTAGTTAAGGATACCTAAGAAATATAGAAGTGAGGATGAAGTTTGAGGAGGACTAAGAACCAAAAATAATGAGTTAGAATTTATACATGTCCCATAATATCTGTGGGGTATAATTCAAGAGGAAATGGTCAGTGTTATAATTATAAGTCTATGATTAGGAGTATATTCAGTGTTATAGATACAGATCTGGTCGTTCTTTGTGGTAGGTCAATGAAGACAATAGGAAAAATTCTGGAACTCTAGTGCAACCAAGGTAGATAAGGAATTACAAAAGGCTGATAAAATGTCAGATGCTGATTGTGGTCAGTACTTTTATCAGCCCATCTGCACTGTTCATTCTTGGATTTCCTCTCTCCTTTCTTTTCACTTGCTTATACATTTCTTGTTGCTGCTGTAACAAATTACCACAAACTTAGTGGTTTAAACCAACACAAATTTATTATCTTACAGTTCTGGAAGCCTGGTGTCCCAAATAAGTCTAACTGCATTAAAATCAAGATGTTGGCAAAGCTCATTTCTTTCTGGAGACTTGAGGGCCATCTATTTTATTGTCTTTTCTAGCTTCTAGATGCTGCTGGCATTATTTTGCTTATGGTCCCCTTTCATCTTCAAGGCCAGCAATGGTGGGGAAAGTCTTACATTGCATTACTCTGAGATGAACTCTCTCCTGTCTCCCTCACAAAAATCTTTTAGACTATATTGGGCCCACCCAGATAATACAGAATAATTTTTCTATCACAAAGTTAGCTGATCAGCAGCTTGAATTCCATCTGCAACCTTAATTCTCTTTGCTGTGTAAACTAACATAGTCCTAGATTTCTGAGGATTAGAACACAAATAAAGGTCACTATTCTGTTTATTACTCCTGTTTTTTAAAATTTTCTCACATATCTAGGTAAAGGAAGTAATATTTTGCTCTTCATAGAGGTACTTGCTTGTGGAGTTCAGTATATACTAGACATGATAGCCAAAAAAAACCCAAAAACAAACAAAACAAAAAACACAAAATAGCCTCCAAAGACATGTGTGGCAAGAAGGAAGGGACTTTGTTTTGCTCTTGTTGAAGGGAGAAGTGATAAGTTTACATGGAATTTGGTGGCCTTTAAAATTCTCTTGGTAACTGACATGAAGAAGAGCTGCATGGGGATTGTTTTGTTATCTTTATTTTGTTTTTTTACACACTTTTTTTTAGATCAAAATATTTCTTATCAGTATTCTTCATATTTTGCTAACATTTCATCATCTAGTAGGATTTACTTAATTCTTCCTGCCTGGGGGAAAGTACTTCTTATAATGCTGACTCTCACTAATATATGTGTTCTCTCTGTGTATGTGTGTGTGTGTGTGTGTGTGTGTGTGTGTGTGTATTTCCATTTACAGTGTTTCCTTGCGTGAACTCTGCGAAAATGAAGATGACAACGTGGTCTTAGCATTTGAACAATTGAGTAACACCTTTCATGAAAAACTTGAAGGAGTTTAAAAATAAAGACTATCCAGACCACTTAAAATATTGCCACTGGCATTTTTAAGTCATATTTTGTGATCTGCATACTAATCAGAAATATATACATGATGAAGTGGAAAGGGCAAACAACTTGGGAGTCTGAATTGTGATCAAACCTGCCATGTTCTCTCATGAGTACCCTTGGACAAGTTTTTTAATATCTTTGGAGTCTTAGCTTCTGTATATAATTGAATAATAATGCCTATGTTTCAGCTGGTTTGTGGACTGATTGAAAAAATGCAAAGATTTTTTATGTGACTAAAGAACAATTTTTACTCTGTGAAGCCTAAACAAATATTACATTCTCAGCACTTTTCTCCTGGATGTTATAATTTGTAAAAGTCTATCAAGGGTAGAATATACTCTATATCCCGAAGTTGAAATATGCTTTCTCTATTAACCTAAATGTGATTATCTGATTTTGATAAATGGTTTTTAAAAATGACAACTTCTAGTAAACTTGAATTACTTTTTAAAAAAATATAAACGAGAGTTTTGGCATAAATCCTATGATGCTCTAAGGTAACATATAGCTGGTGATTTGGCTTGATTTTAATTGTATGTAAATGATTGAAAAAACACAAAGAAATAAATGGGTATAAACAATTTTCCATTTGTCTCTTTGTGTAAAGTCTATACATCTTTCTGTGCATTTGCACATACTTATGCATTTTATATGTAATAAATAGTTTATGTCTAATTGCTTTCCCTTCCTAGTCTAAGCCTCAGATCACAGTTTTGGAATCTATTTTAGGCCCTAAAATTGAGTAGAACATTTTATCCTCAGAGAAATCTCTCTCCTTCTATCTAGGTGTCTTACTGAAGGTGATCTTTTGTATGACATTATTTATACATAATATGACATTGGCTTAGAAAAACACCCATGGTTCATTTTGTCTGGAGATAAAAGAATATTCTGTTATCTGGAACTGACCCATTATTGCATGTGCCATGTTAGGGGAGTCTAGTTTTTTCAGAGTAAACCCTTTTATTCCCCTACCCCCAACTTTAACCTCCACCAACCTCTAGATATTCTCTATTTCTGTAATATTGTCATTTCAAGACCTAAATAAATGGAATTATACAGTACATAACCTTCTGAGATTTTTCCTTTCACTCAGCATAATTCCATCAAGATTGATCCAGGTTGTTACATGTACCAGTAGTGTGTCCCTTTATATTGTTGAATAATATGCCACAGTATGGTTGTACCACAGTTTGTTTAACCATTCAACACAGTGAAGGACATTGGGTTGTTTCTAACTTTTTGCTGTTACAAGTAAAGCTGCTATTAATATTTATGTTTCTTCTGGAATATATATAGAGCTTCTCTTTGGCCCTTGCTGACACCAGGGAAGAGGGAAACAGGGCTGATTCACACTGCTCTGTTGTTTTAGGGTGCGGATGGAAGCTCAGCTGTCACAGGGAATATATGTAGGACAGTATTGATTAGTCTGGCTTTGCACCAACTCATTCTTTCTTACTAATATTAGTTGAAGGTAGAGGTTCAGCACCCTCCCACCCCAATACACACACACCAGGGGAGGGGGCAAGAGCAGGTTTCTGATTAATTCCACCTCACACTGCCTTGTTTAATATCATTGATGCTGGGTCAGGGGATGGCTAGATGGCTCCAATGACATCTGGAGAGGGTGAAGTGTAGTGGTGATTAGTGCCTCTTCATACTGCTTTGGATATACAAGAGACAGAAAACTCAGAGAACTCATTATCATGTTGTTTCTTAAGTCTCAAGGTTCCTATTGTTTTTGTGTTATGTCTAGGTAACTTTTGCTCCAAAAAGGAAGACCTAGGAGGAATGAGATTGCTCTTACATTTTTATTGAAAGAAAGGAAGATGTTGAAAGGACTTGTTGGAAAAAGTTTGAGTCTCTGTTTTTTACATGAATCAATAACTGAATCAAGGGAAAGCTTTACCTCTTTATAACTTAATGTTATGATTTCAGCAGTAATTTGTGTGTGGTTCAGGAGATCTTACAGTAGGCGGGCAATGCTTCCATGGCCTGAGAATTTTCTGAAAGCCAATTTTTGCTTTTCTCAATATCCCTTTTGATCCTGTTTTACATCTTCCCTTTGAATGAAGGCCCATTCTATCATCTTCGTGATATTGCAGAGAGTCAAAGTCCTTACTAGCTCCAGAACTTATTAGGGGAAGTGATATCAGTGTAAAGACAAATTAGCCTTGTTATGTGGATGTGCCAATATGAAACCAAAACTAACTTCCTACTTAATAAATAGGTCAAAAATGCTTGTACCACACATCCTTGTGATCCTGGATGTGATAACAAGCCTTTAGTGTAGCTACGGCTGCTGAACAGTGTCCTAGAAACCAAAGAAGGCAGACTCT